CCCACGGGCCTGGGCGAAGGGGGCGTCACTTGCCTCCCACTCCTGCAAGAAGCGTCGCGCCTCGGCAGGCCCCGCAGCCTTGTGCCTCCGGAACTCGTCTCTCACGTACTGGTCGCCCAGGGCCTTGAGGTCCGGGGGCAGGACCCGGTGCAGCTGCAAGAGGCGCCGGTACAGTGCCCTGACCCGGGAAACATGCCGCCCCAGCATCGCACGCGCACGAACCGCCGCCGGCGCCTGCTCAGAGCGCCTGCGCGGCCCCACCCCCGATACGGCGCGCGTCGGCGAACCGGAAGGCGAGCGGAAAAGGGCGCACGACCTCCATTCGGCTTGGTGTGGGCTCGAATCGGGTCCTTCCGGAAGCCCAATTTCGGCGGCCAAGCGGGAAATTGGTCCGCTGTTCTCCGGGAGGGGCGGGGCCTCCGTGGAGTCGCGCCGGCACCGGAGTAGCTTCTCCTGGACTGAGTCCTGGGGAGGGTTTCCCGGATCGAGGGGTCTGGCAGGGCGCTGGGCTCTGTCTGTCCCACCCACTGTCTTTTCCATTGTGGGCGCCATTGGTCCCTAAAGGTCGCTGAAAATCACTGTCAGGCAGATTGATGCGTAGGAGAGAAGGCATCCACGTGTCTGCACGCATGCGTGTCCATGGGGTTTTCAGAGGGAAACCCACTTCCCAGGGAGGGACGAAAACTCATTCCACCTCCCGGTTCCAGAGAGCCCCGGGGTTTGGGTGCCGGCAGGACGGGCTCTGGGCGAGAAGAGGAGGAACTCTGCAGAGGGGCGCTAGAGCGGTGGGGATGGCTCCTTGGAGCCGCGTGAGCCTGAGACCCGCTCCGTCCCCCTGTGGGATGGCGGGGCCAGGTCTGGTGACATTCCTTTCTCTTTCCTGCAGCAGATACTGAGATAACAGGGCAGGGAAGCGGCTTCTAGTGGGAGGCAGTGGGGGAGATCAGAGAAGTCCGGAGACCTTCCGTTAAGCGCCAAAACGCCTTTTTTGCGGGGGGGAGGGGTCGGCTTCCGAGCCCTGACACTACTCATCTTCTCCCCTGCTCTCCGAAAGGCCTGAGAAAGCCTCCTCCAGGCACCCTGCAGTACTCCTACTCCGTGTGAGGGGTCAGCGTGGGGGCCATCGCACCATCCACCCAGTTCTATACCCCCCCCCTCGTGCACCCTAAGTCTGGATTCTTACACGTGCACTGCGCGAGGGCGCTGGGCGCGACTTCCTAATGGGCCACCATCCTGGAGGCCGATTAAACAGTCGGGGTGAAAGCGAGGGATGAGAGGTTTGTAGAGCTCCACCTTCTGTAAAGGTCCTGCGGGGAGCGGAGCTGGTTTCCAAAACTAGCAGCTGTTTGTCATGGTCATCACTCCCCGTCACACGTTCGTCCTTCAGCAGATCCTGATGCCTCCACCAACAGAATGTGCAGACCACCACCTGGCACCACAGACTCCGCCGCCATCGTGTCTCCACTGGATGCTGCCTCAGCTGCCTTGTCTGTGCTCCTGCTTTTGCCATGACCAGCTCTGGTCATGCTCCAGCTGAGATTAAATTAAGGTACATTTGGCCTAAAGCTGCCTCCACACTTTGAGTTCCTACATGGGGAACTGCAGCCTAACTTGGTAACAAACTGCAACTAGGAGTATGTTCTCAGTCCGTCATGAGAGCTGAGCTTCGCCAATCACAGGCTGCTGTGTGATCATATAAGGGCTTTGTCAATACAAGGAAAAGCCTCAAATCTTGGGACAAGGCAAACCCAACTGCAACCATGCTACCGCTGGAGGGCCCTTCCTTTTTCTGTCTATAAATGCTTCCTGCCTTTGGAAGGCCGAGGTGGGAGGATCACTTGAGCCCAGGAGTTAAAGATCAGCCTGGGCAACATAGCAAGACCTCATCTCAACAAAAAAATCAAAAAATTAATCAGCGTGGTGGTACACACCTGTAGTCCTAGCTTCTTGGGAGACTGAGTTGGAAGGATCACCTGAGCCCAGGAAGTAGAGGCTGCAGTGAGCTGTGATTGTGTCACTGCACTCTTGCCTGGGTGACAGAGACCCCAACACAATAATAAAAACAAAATAATAAAATGAAATAAAATAAAAAGATTTCCCTGCCCACATCGCTGGCTGGAGCTCTCTGAACCTCTCCATTTCCTGGGGGTTGCCTGACGAATGTCTCATGAGTCGTACTTTGCTCAAATGAAAGCTGCCAGATTTTATTTGTCTGAAGTTTTTATTTTTAACAACCTAAGCTGCAAATCAGATCATGTTACTCCCCTGACCAACAGAATTCTCCAGGCCTTTCATCAGGGCAAAACTCTGAATCTCTGATCCTTCAAGCTATACAGTCTCCCACGTGTTCTCTTGCTAGTCGCCCGACTCCAGTCGCACTGGCTTTCTAGTTCTGTTGTTGATGGTAAGTTCTGGTGCTCGCTGCTTGCAGGCTGCAACAAACCAGCACAAGATGGAGTGCAAGGAAGGGGACTTTATTCCAAGAGCTGGTAGATGGGGACATGGCCAAGCTCATGCCTCAAAGAAGTGATTTCAAAACTTTAAGTGAAGATCGGGATTTTAAAGGGAAAGAATGGAACGAGGAGGATCTGGGAGCGGCACAGGGAGCTGGTCTTGCTTCATGGGTCATCTTGAATTGTCCACCAGGAGAGCTGGCCCATGTCGTCCTGACTGTGGCCAGGTTATAGATTAATCATCTTCAAGTGACCTCTAAACAACGGAGAACTCTGCTAGGGGTCTCCATACTCTGTTAGTTCAAGGTCAGCTTCAGGAACAGCCTCTGGAATTTCTCAAGCAAGTTCACAATTAAATCAGGAAGGAAAAAATTTTGTTTTCTTTTCTTTTCTTTCTTGTCCAAGTCTCACTCTATTGCCCAGGCTGGAGGGCAGTGGCACAATCACTGCTCACTGCAGCCTCAACTTTCTGAGCTCAACCTCCCAAGCAGCTGGGAGTGCTCCAAAATGCTCCAAGTAGCCTCCTGTAGAGGCCTACACTATCACTCCTGGCTAATTTTTTTTTAATTTTTAATTTTTTTGTAGAGATATCTTGCTATGTTTCCCAGGCTGGTCTCAAACTCCTGGCCTCAAATGATCCGCCTCAGCTTCCCAAAATGCTGAGATTACAGTGGTGTCTCCTGCCTGACCAAAAGAAAACAAATGTAGGCAAAGAGACAACAAAGATTTAAAACTGGTTCTCGAAAGCTGAAATAGAAATTCTCGGTTATAGTTCCTCTTTGAAAAAGTCAGTCGCACTCCCAACTGCTGTTCCTGGTACTAGAAGTACTCTGGCACATAGACCTTCTTGGCTAACACTTTGATCTCAGGTTACATCAAGTCCCCCTTCTAATGAGATGACCCCCCCCCACCACGACTCTATTTGAAACTCAATGTGAACTCCAACAGCCCAGGCCAAGAACTCTCTATGCTTCTTCTCTGCTTTTCTCTCCCTCTCTGTAGCACTTACGTGGTTTTCTATTTGGTTATTCTGTTTCCCCTCAAATGGAATACAAATTCCATGGGGGCAGGAACTGGGGATTTGCCTACTGATGTGTGAATGACTGAAGGGCCTCATATTCCTGCAGGTGAAGAAGGGGTCAGAGTGTGGGGATTCGTGTGATTCTGTCACAGATCCAGACTTCTGCCTGCACAAAGACATTTGAAATTTTTATATTGTATTATATTATATTATATTATATTAATTTGAGCAAGGTCTCAGTCTGTTGCCCAGGCCAAATCATAGGCCATTAGAATTTACCCATATGTTTGCAGCCAGGATTTTTATAATTTTAGCTCTTATGTTTAGATCTTTGCTCCATTTTGTGCTAATTTTTTTATCTGGTGGCAAGGGGTTCAGCTTCACTCTTTTGCGTGTGGAAATTCCATTCTCCCAGCACCACTTGTTGAAGAGACTATTCATTCTTCCCACTGAATCAACACCCTTGTCAAAAATCAGTTGGCTGTACATATAAGTGATTACTTCTGGGCTCTCCATTTTAATTGGTGTTGTATGGCTAGCTTAATGCCAGTACCACACTGTTTTTGTTTTTGTTGAGTTGGGGGTCTCTCTTCATTGCCCAGGCTAGACTACAGTGGGGCACAATCATGGCTCACCTCAGCCTTGACCTCCTGAGCTAAAGCAATCCTCCAACCTCAGCCTCTCAAGTAACTAGGACTACAGTCACACTTCACCATGCCTAGCTAGTGTGTGTGTGTGTGTGTGTGTGTGTGTGTGTGTGTGTGTGTGTGTGTGTGTGTAGTGTGTGTAGAGACAGTCTGCAATGTTGCCTAGGTTGATCTCAAACTCCTGGCCTCAAGCAATCCTCCTGCCTTGGCCTCCCAAAATGCTGGAATTACAGGTGTGAGCCACCACACCCAGCCAGCAAAGATTTTCTGAAAGACAAAAAAGACACACAGCTAACTACTGAGGGCAGGGACCTACTCATTTTAGTATCTTTCTCCAGGGCCCAACACAGTGCCTTACAAATAGTAAGCACTCCAATATTTATTGTCTTGAATGAAGTTTTTCCTTTTGCTTAAATTTAGGGAAAATATTTGTTAAAAAAAAAACCACAGAACTTGTTTTAATGGATTTAATTTGGTATTATGACAAGCCACATTAATGGCAAGGATGGAATGGCGGTGTGGTTATTTTACTTCAGGAAATTTTCTCTAACCATACTTCATCTGTTAATATCCCTGTAAATTGAAAATTAATTTCTTGTTCCTGGTTACTTTCTTTTCTGGTTTCCGTTGGGGTTAAAGTACATGTATAATAAATACTTCTTTCAGAGTCAAAGCTCTTATAAAAATGTGGGGAAACATTCTGCCAGTGAATTCATAAAAAATAATGATAAAGGAATTAATTGAGCCTAAAGAGAGTAGAAAGGCCTGAAGAGCCCTGGGGACTCCATGCTCAGGAACAGATAAACGGTGAGAGAAGCCAGGACATGGTGGGGCGGCTGGTCAAGTGGAAGGGAACCAGCAAAGCCATGCTGGACAGAAGCTCTGTTTTGAGGACAAAACTTTTTCAGTTTCCCTGATTCCATTTGAGGCTGATCGGTCTCGTCCTTTTGTGGTCAAAACAGCCATGAACTGAAAATAAGATCCAAGTTCTACTCCTGGCCACAAATTCAGATCTGTGCACTTTATGTAGGCCGTTGCTTCATCCTTCCTCCCCGTGTGACTTTTTCCTGTGTGTTTTCCAGCAAGTGACTTAACCACGCTGTGCTCATC